ATAGTCGAAGGAATACGGATAAAGGATAAAGGATAAGGCATTTGCCGTTGATCAATTCCTTTTTGGGATGCGGCACGCATCCTACTTCCATTTGTACATTCGTAGTGGCGTTTGAATGCGCTTTGGCCTATACAATGACTTGCGGGGGCCAGCCGATGTACAAGTCAGTGTTTTTATCCTCCCAGACAAGTCTCACCAATTTACCGACCCCGGAGCTATGAAGGCTTGGTTGGCCCGGGCGACTCACGAACCAGGATTTGATCCCCGGACCGCTCGCGTGGTAAGCGTGCCACTTGCCACTACACCACTTCCGCCCGGTCTGGCTTCTATCAAACGAAATTGTTCCACTAAGGTTGGTCTTTTCGAGCCTGTACGCTTATTTTATTTGAGTGTTGTCAATTCTACTCTACTTTATACCGATGCGAGTTCTGGGCCTGCGGGAGAGCTCGACATCAAAGGCATAAGTGAGCGCGGAAATGAAAATGTTTGTCATGGTTTTGGGGTGGGTCTGTGACACAGTGCCACGATGCCCCCCCCCCCTGCCCAATTCAACTACATATTTGCCGTGTTATTTCTCTGAAAATGGATCTCAACCAAATGATTGCACACAATATTTGGTCAATCACAATCAGTGGCAATCCGTCGATTGTCATGATGGCTGTGAGTCACTTCAAATATGATCCCAGCCCGCATTGTCACATTGGCCATTCTCTTATGAACTCCAGAGTGCAGGGATGAGCTTCTTCGTGTGGGTGCATTCTCTAGGGGCAGGTAATCTGCTATTGTATAACCTAGAAGGAATGGTCGGGTAGGTTGAGAATGGTGGACAAGCTACATTTGTTCAGGATATGAAATCGGGAGAGTGATACGACAACAGCTCTGAACACTTTTCGCCCTATTTGCAGGGGCACCTTCTTATTATAAGCTCTGACAAAGGAGGTCTTTCAGGACATGGAGCGCTTTTTCGAAATGGTTTCTGCATGTTGTAGGGGCTCATGCGAGGAACACAGAACCATGATCCATTTTTCCTGAACGCCTCCAGGAATGTCAAAACAGTGGTGAAGAAATGGTCCAGAGTTCGATCCCCGGTGATGACTAATTTTTGCAATATAGTTTGGCGCCCCCAGATTGCCGCCAAATGGCGCCATCGTCGAGAATAGATGTCATTGTCGTGTTTTGCGGCAATTTGGAGGCGCCAACATAAATTGCAAAAATTTGTCATCACGGAGGATCGAACTTTGGACCATTTCTTCCCCGCTGTTTTGACATTCCTGGGGGCGTTCAGGAAAAATGGACCATGGTTCTGTGTTCCTCACATGAGCCTCTACAACATTCAGAAAACCATTTTGAAAAAACGCTCCATGTCCTGAAAGACCCCCCTCCCCCCTGTCAGTCTTCTCCGGAGCGGCTGGTCATTTGCAACAGATGTCTGTCTGGAACATCTGTCAGCGAGATGTCTGCTTCAAGTCTCATCATTCTTCACCAGACACCGGTAAAGAGCAAGCTCAAATCACATGACAAGGATTGGATGCTGTTTCGATTAACACCCACTTTTACTCCCTAGGATCTCCCAGCAGTTCGAGAGAGACCCTAGAAGATTGACGGTTGCAGTTTTCTTTGAGATAACAAAAACTTCTCTTTCATGAGCGTGATCACCAGTGGTCGTCTTGGCCTGCCATTGCTACGGGGGCTACACACTTTTGTACTTCCGTTAGCCCTCCTTGTTTCAGTAGAGCCACGTCTCTGAGCAACATGTAGTGATACAAGTGTAGTCCTTGCCGGACCACTCTTCCCATGATCGTGCTAGAAGCTTCCAACTCTAATCATTATCATCACGGATTTACGAGAACTGTAGATGACTTCTTTTTCACAGCTTTTCTGATTTTCACAGCTGAAGTGGTGGGACGGCCGCAGCGAGGACGATCTCCTACTGTTCCTCTCTTCAGTACACGGCAGACTTTAGACCGCTGCAAAAGCAAGTGACGAAGTATGTTTGTTTGTCTTGTAACGCTCTGAGAAGGAATGACAACTGTATTTTGGAGCAGACGGACCATGAACTGGTAAGCTAACGAGGCGCCGTAAAAATTGACATGGTTATTCTGGGGCATATGGGGAAGTTAATGCTATAGTGACCGTTAAGGAAAACCAGTTTTCCGCCAGCAGAAATGGTGGACAAGATTTGTTTTGCAATTATGGAACACCCTGTAATTACCCCAAAACTGTAGATAGGTCCATGGGGATTCTCCTCTCCTGACTCATCATAAACTCGAGGTTTGTGTCTGGACAATTTCCTTTACGCTAATTTCCTTTTTGAGCTGCTAATATGTCGAGTAAATAATCAAGATTTTAATGGAGAATGTGCACTCTCTTGGTGCGTTTTAGAAGGCACTATGGGAAGAACGCTCACGTCATTCGAGTACGTGATGAAAATGGTCAGGTGGAGGGTGTGGCCGATGGTAGCTTACGCGGGTATGCTGATCGAATCTCGCCAGAGACGGTCAAACCTCTAACCCTTGCGATTCAGTGAGCTGGTGCCAGATTTATCCACAAAGATTGAAAGACGCATGCATCGTTTTCCACAGAGTTTATGTTTCCCATCTGCAGATTTCCCTTCTCTTCGATTCTAAACATGATAGAAGATTTATATGCAGTGCGTTCCAAAACATAAGGACACCCTTAAAAATGCTGCTCCGAGTTAGAATTTGGGATTTATGGGTTGCT